TTCCTGCCTGACAAGTGGTTGTTGGAGTGGCCCAATAATAGGTGTAACCTAATAGTGACCTAATAATAGGTGTGAACATTTCAATTGGCCACCTTGACTAGCCTTGCAGCTTCAAAGCCTGGCTGCTTCCTGCCCGACATGCTTTTAGAGTGATCCAGCATTTCTGTGTTGTCCAATAATAGATGTGAGCATTTCAATTGACCACCTTGACTAGCCTTACAGCTTCAAAGCCTGGCTGCTTCCTGCCCGACATGCTGTTAGAGTGGTCCAGCATTTCTGTGTTGTCCAATAATGGGTGTGAACATTTCAACTGGCCACCTTGACTAGCCTTGCAGCTTCAAAGCCTGGCTGCTTCCTGCCTGACGTGTAGTTGTTAGAGTTGTCCAGCATTTCAGTGTTGTCCAATAATAGATGTGAATGTTTCAATAGGCCACCTTGATTAACATTTAATAGCCTAGCAGTTTCAAGGTTTGGCTTCTTACTGCCCGGGGGAATCCTTTGTTGGGAGGTGATTAGCTGACCCTGGACAGTCGACAGATATATAAACCCAATTTTCCTAATTTCCAGCGGACCTTGCAACCTCTGAGGATGCCTGCCATAGATGTGGCCACCTTGATTATCCTCGAATGGCCTTGTAGCTTCAAAGCCTGTCTGCTTCCTGCCTGACATGGAGTTGTTAGAGTGGCCCAGCGTTTCTGTGTTGTAAAATGTGAATGTTTCAATTGGCCACCCTGATTAGCATTCAATGACCTAGCAGTTTCAAGGTCTGGCTTCTTACTGCCTGGGGGAATCCTTTGTTGGGAGGTGATTAGCTGACCCTGGACAGTCCACAGATATATAAACCAAATTTTCCTACTTTCCACAGATATATAATCCTCACTGACCTAGTTTCCCACAGACCTCGCAACCTCTGAGGATGCCTGCCATAGATGTGGGCGAAACGTCAGGAGAGAATGCTTCAGGGGAATCCTTTGTTGGGAAGTGATTAGCTGACCCTGATTAGCTTACCTCGGACAGTCCACAGATATATAAACCCAATTTTCCTAATTTCCAACAGACCTCGCAACCTCTGAGGATGCCTGCCATAGATGTGGCCACCTTGATTAGCATTTAATAGCCTAGCAGTTTCAAGGTCTGGCTTCTTACTGCCTGGGGGAATCTTTTGTTGGGAGGTGATTAGCTTACCCCGGACAGTCCACAGATATATAAGCCCAATTTTCCTAATTTCCAACAGGCCTCGCAACCTCTGAGGATGCCTGTCATAGATGTGGGCGAAACGTCAGGAGAGAATGCTTCAGGGGAATCCTTTGTTGGGAAGTGATTAGCTGACCCTGATTAGCTTACTCCGGACAGTCCACAGAGACATAAACCCAATTTTCCTAATTTCCAACAGATCTCGCAACCTCTGAGGATGGCTTCTTACTGCCTGGGGGAATCCTTTGTTGGGAGGTGATTAGCTGAACCTGATTAGCTGACCCTGGACAGTCCACAGATATATAAACCCAATTTTCCTAATTTCCACTGATATATAATCCTCACTGGCCTAGTTTCCCACAGACCTTGCAACCTCTGAGGATGCCCACCATAAATGTGGGCAAAACATCAGGAGAGAATGCTTCGGGAACATGGCCAGACATCCCGGAAAACTCACGTCAACCCACAAATAGACCATTTCTCTCGAAAAATCCCGAAAACGGACGGGGCGACGTTGCCGACCGATATACGAGGGACCGCTTCCCCACCGGGCAAAGAACAGTGCTGCGCCGGCATCTCCAAGAACCCGAATTTGGGAGGTATTACGGAAACACATCTTTTATTATCACTACGTATCAAGAAAAATAGAGTGTCGTTAGCAATCTAATGTACATCTCGCGCCCCACGAAAACCCCGAAAACCACAAACGTAGCCCTGTTAAAAATATAATTATATATATATATATTTATACGTAAATAACATCTATATTCTTTAGTATTTAATCTGCCATCCCCGGGGAAGTTCTCTGGCTCGGCAAAACGGAGCCGCTTTCTTTCTACGCAGCAGAACAGAGGTAGTCTAGAAAACTCTATATATATATATATATATATATATATATATATATATATATATTGAGAGAGAGAGAGAGAGAAAGCTTGCATGGAAGAAAGGTTATGTACAGATCTAAGCAGCAAAAATGGAGGAACGAGGGAGGTTTTGCATGATCAGCCGATCCAGAATCACTAGGTTGCGGTGACTTTTCCGGGCTGTCTGACCACATTCCCGAAGCACTCTCTCGTGACGTTTCACCCACATCCATGGCAGGCATCCTCCAAGGTTGTGAAGTCCAGAAGCACTCCCTCCTGACGTTTCTCCCACATCCACGGCAGGCATCCTCAGAGGTTGTGAGGTTTGTTGGAAACTAGGAAAATTAGGTTTATGGGAGAAAGAACTCTTGTCTGTCAGAGGAAAAGGGGAATGGTTAGCGTTGAATGGCCCTGCAGCTTCAAAGCCTGGCTGTTTCCTGCCTGGGGGGAATCCTTTGTTGGGAGGTGGGAGGGAGAAAGCGCTCTTGTCTATCAAATGTTGCAATTGGCCACCTTGATGAGCGTCGAAGGGCCTTGCAGCTTCAAAGCCTGGCTGTTTCCTGCCTGGGGGGAATCCTTTGTTGGGAGGTGGGAGGGAGAAAGCGCTCTTGTCTATCAAATGTTGCAATTGGCCACCTTGATGAGTGTCGAAGGGCCTTGCAGCTTCAAAGCCTGGCTGTTTCCTGCCTGGGGGGAATCCTTTGTTGGGAGGTGGGAGGGAGAAAGAGCTCTTGTATGTTGAATGTTGCAATTGGCCACCTTGATTAGCGTTGAAGGGTCTTGCAGCTTCAAAGCCTGGCTGTTTCCTGCCTGGAGGAATCCTTTGTTGGGAGGTGAGAGGGAGGAAGAGCTCTTGTATGTTGAATGTTGCAATTGGCCACCTTGATTAGCGTTGAAGGGTCTTGCAGCTTCAAAGCCTGGCTGTTTCCTGCCTGGAGGAATCCTTTGTTGGGAGGTGAGAGGGAGAAAGAGCTCTTGTATGTTGAATGTTGCAATTGGCCACCTTGATTAGCGTCGAAGGGTTTTGCAGCTTCAAAGCCTGACTCTTTTCTGCCTGGGGGGGAATCCTTTGTTGGGAGGTGGGAGGGAGAAAGAGCTCTTGTCTATCAAATGTTGCAATTGGCCGCCTTGATTAGCGTTGAAGGGCCTTGCTTCCAGACAGGAAACAATCGGGGCCAGCTAACACCTCCCAACAAGGGATTCGCCCAGGCAGGAAACAGCCAGGCTTTGAAACTGCAATGTTGGAAGCAAGTGTGAAGTTTGCAACTGGCCACCTTGATGAAGCATGAAATGGCCTTGCTTCCAGACAGGAAACTATCAGGGCCAATGGAAAAACATGGATGTCCAAAGAACTTCTAACTGTGCTAAGACACAAAAGAGACATGCACAAGAAGTGGAAAAAGGGAGAAATCACCAAAGAAGAATTCAAACAAATAGCCAACATCTGTAGGGAAAAGGTGTTTCGCCCAAGCAGGAAGCAGCCAGGCTTTGAAATTGCAATGTTGGAAGCAAGTGTGAAGTTTGCAACTGGCCACCTTGATTAGCACTGAATGGCCTTGCTTCCAGACAGGAAACTATCAGGGCCAGCTAACACCTCCCAACAAGGGTTTCCTGCAGGTAGGAAGCAGCCAAGCTTTGAAGTTGGAAAGGCCATTCAATGCTAGTCAAGGTGGCCAATTGCAAACTTCACACTTGCCTCCAACATTGCAGCTTCACACTTGCCTCCAACTTTGCAGCTTCAAAGCCTGGCTGCTTCCTGCCTGAGAGAATCCTTTGTTGGGAGGTGTTAGCTGGCCCTGATTGTTTCCTGTCTGGAAGCTGCAAGCCATTCAACGCCAATCAAGGTGGCCGACTGCAACATTCACACTTGCCTCAAACAGACACGAGTACGTTCCCCACCCACCTCCCAACAAAGGATTCCTCCAGGCAGGAAGCAGCCAGGCTTTGAAGTTGCAAAGCCATTCAGTGGTAATCAAGCTGGCCAATTGCAACATTCACACTTGCCTCAAACAGACACAAGTACGTTCTCCCACCCACCTCCCAACAAAGGATTCCTCCAGGCAGGAAGCAGCCAGACTTTGAAGTTGCAAAGCCATTCAGTGGTAACCAAGCTGGCCAATTGCAACATTCACACTTGCCTCAAACAGACACGAGTACGTTCTCCCACCCACCTCCCAACAAAGGATTCCTCCAGGCAGGAAGCAGCCAGACTTTGAAGTTGCAAAGCCATTCAGTGGTAATCAAGCTGGCCAATTGCAACATTCACACTTGCTTCAAACAGACACGAGTACTTTCTCCCACCCACCTCCCAACAAAGGATTCCCCCAGGCAGGAAGCAGCCAGGCTTTGAAGTTGCAAAGCCATTCAGTGGTAATCAAGCTGGCCAATGGCAACATTCACACTTGCTTCAAACAGACACGAGTACTTTCTCCCATCCACCTCCCAACAAAGGATTCCCCCAGGCAGGAAGTAACCAGGCTTTGAAGCTGCAAGACCATTCAATGCTAGTCAAGGTGGCCAATTGCAACCACCACACTTGCTTCCAACACTGCAGTTTCAAAGCCTGGGGGAATCCCTTGTTGGGATCTTCTTTGGTGATTTCTCCCTTTTTCCACTTCTTGTGCATGTCTCTTTTGTGTTTTAGCACAGTTAGAAGTTCTTTGGACATCCATGTGTTAGCTGGCCCTGATAGTTTCCTGTCTGGAAGGAAGGCCATTCAATGCCAATCAAGGTGACCAATTGCAACATTCACACTTGCCTCCAACAGACAAGAGTTCTTTCTCCCACCTTGAACATCATTCCACAGGTATATCAACCCCACTTGCCTAGTTTCCAACAGACCTCACAACCTTTGAGGACGCCTAGCATAGGTGTGGGTGAAATGTCAGGAGAGAATGCTTCGGGAACATAGCCAGACAGCCTGGAAAGCTCTCCGCAACCCAGTTTCTTAGTGTGTTTTATTGCTTTGGTCGACACCACGTTTGATTCCCGGTTTCCTCTCCTTTTTTGCTCAATTTGAGGATTATTGCACGCAAAGTTACTGCTTTGCATCGTTCAATAAAAAAATAATAAGAAAAATAGCGGAGTATTGCGACGCAGTGCCGATACTTCCCTCCTCCCTGCCTTTTGTCTCGGACTTTCAAGTTTCCTACAAGGTTTTTCGAAAAAATTGATTTTTTTCCAACGGCAAAGACCAGGTCGTTGGGAAAAGTCAGTCGTTCAGGGGGAAATTTAGAAAGAAAAGTGTGGGATCTTTCCAATCCCTTTCCCATTCAAGGAAAGAGTCCAGGATTTGGTGCCAGGAGAGCGGGGTGGAAAGAGAACCTCTCTAGGAACAAACGAACCACAAAAAAACAACTTTGAGTTAATGTTATCTAATGTAAAGAGATCCTAGTGGGGTGGCATTGTCTCCAGGATGTTGCTTTCCTTCCCTTTGAAAGAAAAACTAAAATCAAATCGGGGGCAAATCGAATTTGATCCGATGTGAAGGAAAGGATGCTTCGCCGTCGCCCACCTCAGTTCTACAAACACAATGCTTTGGTCTAAAGCATGGAAGTACAAAGTTGGGCCTTCCACGTGTTTTGGACTTCAATTCCCACAATTCCTAACAGCCTCGGGCCCCTTCCTTTCCTTTTCCCCCTCAGCCACTTAAGTAAATATTGGGGGCTCATCCGGGATTCAGAAAGAAAGTCCCTCGTTTGAATGGGGGCTCATCCAGGATTCGGAAAGGAAGTTGCTCGTTTTAATGGGAGCTCATCCGGGATTCGGAAAGGAAGTCCCTCGTTTTAATGGGAGCTCATCCAGGATTCGGAAAGGAAGTCCCTCGTTTGAATGGGGGCTCATCCGGGATTCAGAATGGAAGTCCCTCGTTTGAATGGGGGCTCATCCGGGATTCGGAAAGGAAGTCGCTCGTTTGAATGGGGGCTCATCCGGGATTCAGAAAGGAAGTCCCTCGTTTGAATGGGGGCTCATCCGGGATTCGGAAAGGAAGTCGCTCGTTTTAATGGGGGCTCATCCGGGATTCAGAAAGGAAGTCCCTCGTTTTAATGGGAGCTCATCCGGGATTCAGAATGGAAGTCCCTCGTTTTAATGGGAGCTCATTTGGGATTCGGAAAGGAAGTCCCTCGTTTGAATGGGGGCTCATCCGGGATTCAGAATGGAAGTCCCTCGTTTGAATGGGAGCTCATCCGGGATTCGGAAAGGAAGTCCCTCGTTTGAATGGGAGCTCATCCGGGATTCAGAATGGAAGTCACTCGTTTGAATGGGGGCTCATCCGGGATTCGGAAAGGAAGTCGCTCGTTTTAATGGGGGCTCATCCGGGATTCAGAAAGGAAGTCCCTCGTTTTAATGGGAGCTCATCCGGGATTCAGAATGGAAGTCCCTCGTTTTAATGGGAGCTCATTTGGGATTCGGAAAGGAAGTCGCTCGTTTGAATGGGGGCTCATCCGGGATTCAGAATGGAAGTCCCTCGTTTGAATGGGGGCTCATCCGGGATTCAGAAAGGAAGTCCCTTGTTTTAATGGGGGCTCATCCGGGATTCAGAAAGGAAGTCGCTCGTTTTAATGGGGGCTCATCCGGGATTCGGAAAGGAAGTCGCTCGTTTTAATGGGGGTTCATCCGGGATTCAGAAAGGAAGTCGCTCGTTTTTAATGGGGGTTCATCCGGGATTTGGAAAGGAAGTCGCTCGTTTTAATGGGGGCTCATCCGGGATTCGGAAAGGAAGTCCCTCGTTTTAATGGGGGCTCATCCGGTATTCGGAAAGGAAGTCCCTCGTTTTAATGGGGGCTCATCCGGGATTCAGAATGGAAGTCCCTCGTTTCGTTCTTCCAAACGTAAACAAAGGCTTACGCGGCTGAGGAGGGAAAGGAAAGGACCTGATACTGTGAGGTATTGTGGGAGCTGAATTCCAAAATCCCTGGAGAGTCGAAGTTTGCCCATTCCTGGTCTACATGACCTTTGAGAGTCTCTTCTCCTAACAGCCTCAGGTCCCTTCCTTTCCCCCCATTAAGTGAATAATGGGGGCTCATCCAGGATTCGTAAAGGAAGTCCCTCGTTTTGTCCTTCCGAATGTAAACAAAGGCTTAAGCGGATGAGAGGGAAAAGGAAAGGACCCAAGGCTGTTAGGAATTGTGGGAGTTGAAGTCCAAAATGCCTGGAGAGTCGAAGTTTGCCCATTTCTGGTCTAGATGACCTTTGAGGGTCTCTTTTCCTAACAGCCTCGGTCCCTTCTTTTTCCCCCTCAGCCGCTTAAGTGAAAAATGGGGGCTCATCCAGGATTCGGAAAGGAAGTCCCTCGTTTTGTCCTTCTGAATGTAAACAAAGGCTTAAGCGGCTGTGGAGGAAAAGGAAAGGACCTGATACTGTGAGGAATTGTGGGAGTTGAAGTCCAAAACATTTCGAGGGTCCAAGTTGGCCAAGCCTGGTCTAATCACTTGCATAAGAGATTCTCGCACGGCACTGTTAATGCGTTGTTGTTTCACTTCAACCGCTATGGAAACTCTGGGCTTTCTAGTTGAGTGAGACTTTGAAAGACGAGAGGTTAAGTGCTTTAACCACCTCGTACGATACTCTCTGGTGTGTCGGATAAGTAGAACGTTCTCTAAATCCCACCACAAGTGCAACGAGAGCGCTTTAACAACATCGCGCGATACTCTCTGGAGTTTCAGCTTCAGATACTCTCTGGAGTTTCGGATAACAGAACGTTCCCCAAATCCTCACACAATCACAACTCCGGCGCAAGTGCAACAACAGCGCTTTAACAACATTGTGCGAAACTCTCTGAAGTTTCGGATAAGCAGAACATTCCCCAAATCCCTGGCGCAAGTGCAATGACATCACTTTAACAACATCGCGCGATACTCTCTGGAGTTTCAGCTTCAGACAAGCAGAACGTTCACCAAATCCCCACGCAATCACAACTCCGGCACACGGCTCCCTCCGCCCCCACTTCGTACACCAAGGACAGCATCCTGACGCTTTCCATGCGTTTCCCACGACGTTTTGTTGCAGCGTCGGCTCCGTCTGCAAACAAGCCACACGCGGGAAACCCTAATTGACCGATCTCTCCTCCTGAATGAGGCGGGGAATAACGGGATGTGGGAAGGGATGGAAGGAGAGGGAATTATTGCATTCCCCACAGCACCCGTGGGTCCAGACACCAGGGGCCCTCAGAAGCGGTGCGTCAAGGCCCCCGGCTCCCGTTCTTTCCGCTTCAGTTCCTCCTTGTAGCAACAGGAGCAATAATTCCCAGTCTCTGGGTGCCCATAAAAACTGCAGTTCGGCTGTTTGCATTTGGTTTGCTGAACGCCGCCGTAGAGGAACCGGGCTTTGTTCGGGTCGACGACAATGCTTTTCGGAGAGCCGCCACTACCGCCGCCGCCCGGCTCATGGTACTCCCGGTATCCATTGCTAGGAGAGACTGGGCAGGGGGAGCCCTCGCAGTCCAGCCCCCGGTAACTCGGCAGCAAGTCCGTGTCCGTCGGGGAGAAGCGGCCACCTAAGTGCGGAGGGCCGGATTGGTAAAGGTGAGGGGGCCGCCCTTGAGCGCAATGCCGGGGCAACGTGGCGTAGGAAGGGAGAGGGCCGCAGGGGCCGCCAGCAAGCTGCCGCCGACCCTCTTGGTAGCTGGGTGGGTGTGCGCTCTCCACACTGCTCATCATAGAGGGGCGAGGGATGGTGAAGACCCCCGAGTGGCTCGTGGGGAAGCCAGCCATCTTGGCCCCGATGGCGGCCTGTTCGGGGCTTTGGATTGCGTAGGGGGAGAGCGCCGGCGGGGAGTAGGTAGGATTCGGTAAGGTGTCCTCTCCTCGGAGAGGGCTGCACTCCGAATCTGGCCTCCTCCCGCTGCCGTTGCCGAGAGCCGCCATCTTCTTCTCAGCCTCCCTTTGCTTCTGCTCAGCTGAGAACCGCTCCTCGGCATCGGCCAGGTACCGCTGGATCATCTCCTCCTGGTATTGGTGCCGGTGGCTGGTCTTCAGCTGTCCGGTGAAGATGAACTTGCGCTCCCCTTGCATGGCGGCCCGAAGGATGCTCAAGCTGAGCTTGACGTCACTGCCATACTTGTAAGAGGTGTCCGCGGGCTTCTCCGAGGCCGCCTTGGCCGGACACGACCTCTCCGAGGGGGACTCCGACTCCCCGGCAGAGGCTCCCTCGTCCTTGCTGCCTTTCCTCACCTTGATGGAGCCCTTCTGCTTCTTCTGCTTCTTCTCCAGCGTGGCGTCCCCTTGACCGTTGGCCAGTCCGGCGCCCTTAGCGGTCCGGCTGTGCATCAGGCCCCCCATGTTCTTCTTCAGCTTGCTCCCCAGAGTCTTGCCGAAGCTGCCCAGCTTGTTGGCCACCGAGTCGGCCCGCTTCTTCTCCTTCTCCCTCTCCCGGTCCTTCTTCGGCTTGTCCTTCTCTTTGTCTTTACCGCCGCCGCTTTTGCTGCCCCCGCTGTTGCTGGCCGAGCTGCTGCAAACCGACTCCTTGTCCGAATCGCCCGAGTCTGCGGCGGAGCGGGCATCGTCCCCGGCGGAAGCGGTCGGGGACTCCGGCTGTGCCAGCGGTGCCTAGGAAAAGTGGGAGGGAGAGAGAGAGATTAAGATGGGCAGGACAACCGCTGAGGGAGAAGAGTCCACTCTGTATGCAATTCAGCAAACCGAAAGTGACCCCATGTTGTATATCAGCCTGTTATTTTGTCTGATGTTCATACTGTTGCACTCCAGACCAGGAAACCCTCTGACTTCAAACACCACACAGCTGAGTAAAATGCAAGTAGTTTATTGAAGATAATTAAAAGCAATCCACAAAAATAGGTAAATCCAAATCGGTAGAAAAGATAGATAGGAACAGATAATCCAGGAAATTAGTCCATCAGATTTCATGAAAACAAAAACTGGAACTTCCAAGGCCCCAAAGAACTTGAGCACTAATCAAACAAGGCACTTCAGCATGAAAATTATAAGGCACTTAATACAGAAATCTAGGCTTCCAGGGACCTGAGACGAGGTCTTGACTTAATTCCAACATTGCTTTGTCTGGCTACACATTCTGTACCTGACACTTTTATCCCCTAATCTACTCTATATCCCAAGCGGCCAGGAATAGATTTCTTTTCAGCCTTGAATCTCTTATCAGTCTCTCCTGCGATCTAGCAGAGCACCCGAGACCCTGTTTGTTTTTCTTTGCTGACTGAAAACACTTCTCCTATTAACTGGCTCATTAATTTCTGCAGCTAGACCAGCCTTTCTCAGGCTTAAGGCCTTTGGAATTCTCTGGTAGCAATTCAGGCCCAGCGAACAGACCATCATCCCCAAACCCTTCAGGAACATTCCCTCAGAAGAGTCACTTTGAACCTGAATCGCATTATCATTCCCTGCATCTAGAGCAACCTGATCATTAGACACCTGAACCTCATTGTCATCCAGAGTACCCTGTTCATTAGACACAATCACAGGCTGAACTCCAACACATGTTGATGTTTATGATGAGAATGGGGATGATGTTCATGTTGATGTTCATGAAGGGAATGGGGATGTTGATCCGGTTCCTGGGTCAGTGTCTGGTGGATTTGGGGATGAGGGTTATGGGGCCTGAATGGAGTTTACAAGAGAGGCCTGAGTTGCTGCAAGAGGATTCTCAAGGTCCCAGGCTTGGGAAAGACCTTTCGCCACCGTTCCCTGAGCAGCTATCTGAGAATGAAGCTGATTTTGATTTACCAGGTGCAGGAGTTAATGAGACCTTGAACAAGAAAAGAAGTTTTAGTAAACAGAGGCACTTTGGGGAGCAATTAAGCTGCTCAGTTCAGATTCAAGAGAAGACAGATAACAAACCAAAACTAAGAAAGAATGCTTTCCTTGCAGTTTTGGAGTCAATTGGGAGACAATTGCTTCAGTTGAGGCAACGTCGGGATAAAACCAAGTTTCATGCATCAAGGTTCGCTAAGCTCATGCCTGTGGTATTCATGGATTCAAGTGTCTAGTTTCGCTCATCTCGGATTCAACAGAAGATAGATAACAAACCGAAACTAAGAAAGAATCCATTCCTTGCTGTTTTGGAGTCAGGGAAGGGTTTATAATGATTTGTGGGAGACAATTGCTTCAGTCAAAGCAACGTTGGGATAATGACAAGTTTCATGTATCAAAGTTCGCCAGTTCGTGCTTTGCCTATGGGAGATGCTTCCTGTGGTGTTCATGGATTCAAGTGTCTAGTTTCGCTCAGCTCAGATTCAACAGAACATAGACAACAAACCAAAACTAAGAAAGAATCCGTTCCTTGCAGTTTTGGAATCATGGAAGGGTTTATAATGATTTGTGGGAGACAATTGCTTCAGTCGAGGAAATGTCGGGATAATGACATGTTTAATGTATCAAAGTTTGCCAGCTCATGCTTTGCCTATGGGAGATGCTTCCTGTGGTGTTTGTGGATTCAAATGTCTAGTTTCGCTCAGCTCAGATTGAACAGAAGATAGATAACAAACCGAAACTAAGAAAAAATCCGTTCCTTGCAGTTTTGGAGTCAGGGAAGGGTTTATAATGACTTGTGGGAAACAATTGCTTCAGTTGAGGCATCGCTCGGCTTGGCCTCATGTAAGCCGCTCCGAGTCCCCTTTGGGGGGATGGTGGCGGGGTATAAATAAATTATTATTATAGCTTCAGTTGAGACAATGTCGGGATAACGCCAAGTTTCATGTATCAAGCTTCGCCAAGCTCATGCTCTGCCTATGGGAGATGCTTCCTGTGCCGTTCCGAAGACCCCTTCCATCCACACCACCCGCACCCTTTCGAAACTGAGTTTGTGCTCCTCCGCACTCCTTTACCTGTGTGTCGCAAGGCAACGTGATCCACTTGACATTCATGTAGCTGTGCAGCAGGTGGAGCTTGGCTTCCAGAGACAGCGTCACGCTAATGGAGACACGGAAGACAGACAAAGATAGAAGGGATTGAGATTGAGAGAGAACGTTTCTGCTCCTGGGTAATTCCGAGAAGGAATACGAAAGGTAAATCGGCAACGACAACAACAGTTTCAGCAGACCCAAAGCTTTTTGAGGAAGGCACTATAGCAAAGGAGCTTCCACGGGAACAGAATCAAGCTTTAAAAGTTATACAAGACTATACTGAAAAAACTACATTTCTCTACAGGAAAGGCGAAAAGCACACATATGCATTTTAGATAGATTAGGAATCAGCTTAGATTAGTAATAGATTAGTAATATATAATACTGATATTGTACTATGCTAACAATATGTTTAACTTGTGGACAACAAGTTAAACATGAGCCAACAATGTGATGTGGCGGCAAAAAAAGCCAATGGGATTTTGGCCTGCATCAATAGGAGCCTAGTGTCTAGATCTAGGGAAGTAATGCTACCTATTCCGCTTTGGTTAGACCACACCTGGAATATTGTGTCCAATTCTGGGCACCACAATTCAAGAGAGATATTGACAAGCTGGAATGTGTCCAGAGGAGGGCGACTAAAATGATCAAGGGTCTGGAGAACAAGCCCTATGAGGAGAGGCTTAAGGAGCTGGGCATGTTTAGCCTGAAGAAGAGAAGGATGAGAGGAGATATGATAGCCATGTATAAATATGTGAGAGGAAGCCACAGGGAGGAGGGAGCAAGCTTGTTTTCTGCTTCCCTGGAGACTAGGACGGAACAATGGCTTCAAACTACAAGAGAGGAGATTCCATCTGAACATGAGGAAAAACTTCCTGACTGTGAGAGCCGTTCAGCAGTGGAACTCTCTGCCCCGGAGTGTGGTGGAGGCTCCTTCTTTGGAAGCTTTTAAGCAGAGGCTGGATGGCCATCTGTCGGGGGTGATTTGAATGCAATATTCCTGCTTCTTGGCAGGGGGTTGGACTGGATGGCCCATGAGGTCTCTTCCAACTCTTTGATTCTATGATTCTATATTGTATGGATATATATCTTGTAAGCCGCTCTGAGTCCCCTTCGGGGTGAGAAGGGCAGCATATAAATGCCGTAAATAAATAAATAAATAATAATACTAATGTTAAACATGGATGGCGCAAGCACGCTCCCCTGAAGCAGGCCATTCCTTTGTTTCCGCCATCATCTTCTCTGGCCCTGGAACTCAACAAAAAAGCTCCTGTTTGGTAGCAGATTTCCTATGAAGCGGGTGACTGATGGTTCTCCTTTATTTCTAGCCATATGGTAAACCTCTGAGTTTAGGCGCTACGAGCACCTAAAACTTCAGAGAGCTTCTGTTCAACCGTTTCAAAGCTTCCTGCTTGAGTGGTGATGGCACTATCATCAGCATAGATGAAACTCTCTAACCATCTGTCTCTCTGGAGACTTTTTTCTCTCTCCATGCTCACAGGAGAGGAACAAAAAGGGAGGACTCAAAGATTTACCATGTTTCTAGAAACTTGAATAAAGGGGAGGTGTCAATCACCCGCTTCATAGGAAATCTGCTACCAAACAGGAGCTTTTTTGTTGAGTTCCAGAGCCAGAGAAGATGATGGCGGAAACAGAAGAACGGCCTGCTTCAGGGGAGTGTGCTTGTGCCATCCATGTTTAACATTATTATTATTATTATTATTATTATTATTATTATTATTATTATTATCGACATTTATATGCCGCCGTTCTCACCCCGAAGGGGACTAAGAGCGGCTTACAAGATATATATCCATACAATATATTACTGCATATACTCGAGTATAAGCCGACCCGAATATAAGCCGAGGCACCCAATTTTACCACAAAAAACTGGGAAAACTGATTGACTCGAGTATCAGCCGAGGGTGGGAAATGCAGCAGCTGTGGGTAAATTTCAAAATAAAAATAGATACCAATAAAATTACATTAATTGAGACATCAGGAGGTTAAATGTTTTTGAATATTTACATAAAACTGAAATTTAAGATAAGACTGTCCAACTCGGATTAAATCATTATTCTAAGCTTCTTTGATGTAAACGTGCTAAAGTATCCTTCCAATTATTTATTTTATTTAATTACAACATTTGTATCCCGCCCATATCAGCCCAAAGGCGACTCATAATAATAATAATAATAATAATAATAATAATAATAATAATAATAAAGAGAGGAAAATCATAAATGTTATAATAATAATAATAATAATAATAATAATAGAGTAAAATAAGGGAAACATAATAATAACAGTAATAATAGAGTAAAATAATAAATGTAATAATAACAATAATAAAGTAAAATAATAAACGTAATAATAAGAGTAAAATGATAAACGTAATAATAACAATAGAGTAAAATAATAAATGTAAAATAATAATAAGAATAACAGAGTAAAATAATAAATAAAATAATAAATAACCTTGACTCGAGTATAAGCCAAGGCGGACTTTTTCGTTCTACAAAAAGGGATGAAAAACTAGGCTTATACTCAAGTATATACAGTATATTATTAGCATAGTACAATACCAGTATTATATATTACAATATCGTACTATACCATTATATTGTAATATTATTAGTAATATTTACATGTAATATAAAACATTTAATTAGAATATCATATTAGTAGTATTATATTGTATTTCATTATAATATTATGAACATTATATGTATATACAATATATTATATTATATTACATTGACACAAATGATCAGCCACTGCCAGAAGGAAAAGAGAGTTTCATCTACGCTGATGATCATGCCATCACCGCTCAAACAGAAAGTTTTGAAATGGTTGAACAGAAGCTCTCCGAAGCTTTAGGTGCTCGTAGTGCCTATTACAGGGAACACCAGCAGACTCCTAATCTATCTAAAATGCATATGTGTGCTTTCCACCTTAAGGACGACAACAACAACAACAACAAGGACACAAAGCATCTCCTTGATAAGGACTACAAACTTGTGCAGGATGTGGTTGAGTTCCAACCTCTGCAAGTCCTTAAAAAGTCTACCAGGAAGAGCCTCACCTTGCCAGTTTGACGTTGTCGCTGTCGTCTTTGCCCCACTCCCAGTCCTTCCCGGGGTCGACCGCAAAGTGGACGGGAAGCAGCTTGTGCTCGGAGTCCGTCAGCGGGATCACGGCTGCGGAGGAAATAGTCAAGTTGCTTCCTGAAGTTTCTAAACCCGCTGTAAGCAACTGGAGGCCCTTTTGCATCCCATAATGAGGCTAAAAGGCCAGGAGATCAACAAATACAACAATATGAGGACAGCGTTCGCACCTTGTTCCTTGCTGGACTCCTTCTGCTCCATGGAGACCAAGGCCGAGAAGTGGGCCTGGTCGTAGGCCAGCACCAGCGGGGAGCGGTGGCACTTGTTGGCGGGGACCTCCAAGGGCAGGTAGATGCCGCCAAAGGGGATGGGAGCAAACGCTGGAAGAGGAGGAAAGGTTGTAAATGGGGTTTTAATGTATTTCCTCACGTAATAGTCGCACCCCCCATTTTAGGTGGCAAAATTGGTGTTTTTGTGTTCCTTGCATAATAGTCGCAGAGCCATTTGGGGCTCATTTTCTCCTCCCTCCCTTTCTTCTAACAAGGGGAGTGGACTGGATGGCCTTTGAGGTTTCCTTCCGACTCTATGATTCAATAAAGGAGAAACCTCATGTAATAGTCGCACTCCCCATTTTAGGAACACTCCTCATTATATTATAATAGTCGCACTCCCCATTTTAGGAACACTCCCCATAGTCGCACCCCCCATTTTAGGAACACATGTTTTTGTGTTCCTCGCATAATAGTCGCAGAGCCATTTGGGGCTAATTTCCTCCTCCCTCCCTTTCTTCTCACAAGGGGAGTGGACTGGATGGCCTTTGGGGTCCCTTCCAACTCTATGATTCAATAGAAGAGGAAATGTGGAAGAAGGCCGAGAAGTGGGCCTGGTCGTAGGCCAGCACCAGCAGGGAGCGGTGGCGCTTGTTGACGGGGACCTCCAAGTGCAGGTAGATGCCACCAAAGGGGATGGGATCAAACGCTGGAAGAGGAGCACAGGTTGTACCGTATTTCCTCATGTAATAGTGGCACTCCCCATTTTAGGTGGCAAAATGGGTGTTTTTGTGTTCCTCGCATAATAGTCGCATAGCCATTTGGGGCTGATTTCCTCCTCCCTCCCTCCCTTTCTTCTCACAAGGGGAGTAGACTGGATAGCCTTTGGGCTTCCCTTCCAACTCTATGATTCAATATAGGAGGAACCTCATGTAATAGTCGCACTCGCCATTTTTGGTGGCAAAATTGGTGTTTTTGTGTTCCTCACATAATAGTCGCAGAGCTATTTGGGGCAGATTTCCTCCTCCCTCCCTTTCTTCTCACAAGGGGAGGGGACTGGATGTCCTTTGAGGTTCCCTTCCAACTCTATGATTCAATAGAGGAAGTGTAGAAGGCCAGCACCAGTGGGGAGCGGTGGGACTTGTTGACGGGGACCTTCAAGGGCAGGTAGATGCCACCAAAGGGGATGGGAGCAAACGCTGGAAGAGGAGCACAGGTTGTACCGTATTTCCTCATTGTTGCACTGCCCTATTTATGTGGCAAAATGGGTGTTTTGTGTTCCTCGCATAATAGTCGCAGAGCCATTTGGGGCTCATTTCCTCCTCCCTCCCTTTCTTCTCTCAAGGGGAGTGGACTGGATGGCCTTTGGGGTTCCCTTCCAACTCTATGATTCAATAAAGGAGAAACCCTAATTTAGGTGGCAGAATCGGTGTTTTTATGTTCCTCRTATAATAGTCGCAGAGCCATTTGGGGCTGATTTCCTCCTCCCTCCCTTTCTTCTCACAAGGGGAGTGGACTGGATGGCCTTTGAGGTTCCCTTCCAACTCTATGATTCAATAAAGCAGAAACCTCATGTAATAGTYGCACTCCCCATTTTAGGTGGCAAAATTAATGTGTTTGTGTTCCTCGCATAATAGTCGCAGAGCCATTTGGGGCTGATTTCCTCCTCCCTCCCTTTCTTCTCATAAGAGGAGTGGACTGGATGGCCTTTGGGATTCCCTTCCAACTCTATGATTCAATAAAGGAGGAATCTCATGTAATAGTCACAGTCCACATTTTAGCTGGCAAAATGGGTGTTTTTATGGGTTTGTGTTCCTCACATAATAGTCGCAGAGCCATTTGGGGCTGATTTCCTCCTCCCTCCCTTTCTTTTCACAAGGGGAGTGGACTGGATGGCCTTTGGGGTTCCCTTCCAACTCTATGATTCAACGGAGGAGGAAGTGTGGAAGAGGGAACGGCCAGAAAGAAAAGGAATGAGAAGACGTGTCCTTCGCTTCATGGTTTCTCTTTTTCCTACCTTCCCCTCCGGAATCCCTCAGCATGGTGTCGGCGACCACCACAATGGGCCGCTTGAGGACGTGGGCCAAGACGAAGACGTGGAACTCCTCCAAGCTCTCGTAGACGGGCTCCTCGGACCCTTCCACCCTAAACAAAAGGGGGAGAACATGTTGGAAACGCCCTCTGACTCTAAGAGCGAAATGCTTGCACGGATCCAGCTTTTGGGGCAAAGGGGGTGCTCACCCGCCGCAATTGCTGCCGTTGGTGCCGTAGTGCATGCGTGGCTCGCTGGAGGCCAGCTTGATGAGTTCGTTCCACTCCTTCTGCCACTCCTCTTCCGTATAGACCAGGCCGGACTGATGGGGTAGAAAGGGAAGAAACAAGTAAAGAGAGGCTGGGTGGCCATCTATCAGGAGGGTTTGGATTGTGTCTTCCTGCCTGGCTATGCTATGAATACACTGCCAGGGCTCAATGCTGTAGAATCGTGGAAGTCATCGTTATGCAAGGTCTTTAGGCTTCTCTACCAAAGAGTGCTACAGTAATAATAATAATAATAATAATAATAATAATAATAATAATAATAATAATAATATAATGGTTATTTTATAATAAAAATAGTATAATATTATAATATAATGGTGATGGTATAATATTAGCATAATAACGATATAATATAATGATGATGATATAATAATATTAACGTAATAATAATAATAATAATAATAATGGTATAATAGTATATTATAATATAATGGTGATGGTATAATAAAAGAATAATATAATAATAATATTTATTTATCTGTCATGTCAGGAGTAAACCAAACAGTTGTATTGCATTTCAAATGCAATAATAATATAATATAATGGTGGTGGTATAATAGTATAATCTAATAATAATATAATATAATGGTAATGGTATAATAATATTACCATAGTATAATAATAATAATATGGTGATGGTATAATAATGGCACAATATATTAATAATAATAATATAATGGCAATGGTATAATAATAATAGCATAATACTAATAATATAATATAATGGTGATGTTATAATAACAATAGCATAATATAATAATAATATGGTGAGGATATATTCAATCTAATATTAATAATAATATAATGTTGATGCAATAATAATAATAATAATAACAACAACAACATACCAGTAATGGCATAATAATAAATAATAATATAGTGATGATGGTATAGTAATAATAATAATAAAAATATATTGGTAATAGTGATGACATAATAATAATACAATGATATTATAACAATAATAGTATAATATAATAATAGTATAATATAATGATGATAGTATAATAATAGCAAAATACTAATAATATAATATAATGGTGATGGTATAATAATAATAGCATAATATAGTAATAATAATAATAATAATAATAATATAATCCAATATTGATAATAATATAATGTTGATGCTATAACAACAACAACAACAACAACAACAACATACCGGTAATGGTGATGGCATAATAATAAATAATAATATAGTGATGATAGAATAATAATAATAATAATAATAATAATAATAATACTGGTAATGGTGATGGCATAATAACAATAATAATACAACGATGTTATAATAATCATAGTAATAGTATAATATAATAATTATAATATAATATTAGTATAATATCATAATAATATAATATCATGATGATGGTATAATAATAGCATAATACTAATAATTTAATATAATGGTGATGGTATAATAATAATAGCATAATATAGTAATAATAATAATAATAATAATAATAATAATATAATCCAATATTGATAATAATATAATGTTGATGCTATAACAACAACAACAACAACAACAACATACCGGTAATGGTGATGGCATAATAATAAATAATAATATAGTGATGATAGAATAATAATAATAATAATAATAATAATAATAATAATAATACTGGTAATGGTGATGGCATAATAACAATAATAATACAACGATGTTATAATAATCATAGTAATAGTATAATATAATAATTATAATATAATATTAGTATAATATCATAATAATATAATATCATGATGATGGTATAATAATAGCATAATACTAATAATTTAATATAATGGTGATGGTATAATAATAATAGCATAATATAGTAATAATAATAATAATAATAACATGGTGAGGGTATAATAGTATAATCTAATATTAATAGTAATATAATGTTGATGCAATAACAATAATAGCATAATACTAATAGTATAATATAATGTTGATGGCATAATAATAAATAGTAATATAGTGATGATGGTATAATAATAATAATAATAATAATAATAATAATAATAATATACTGGTAATGGTGATGGCATAAAAATAATAATAAAATGTTATAATAATAGTAATAGTATAATAATAATATAATATAATAATAATATAATATAATGATGATAGTATAATAATAATAGCATAACATAATGATATCATAGAATCATAGAATCAAAGAGTTGGAAGAGACCTCATGGGCCATCCAGTCCAACCCCATTCTGCCAAGAAGCAGGAATATTGCATTCAAAGCACCCCTGACAGATGGCCATCCAGCCTCTGTTTCAAAGCTTCCAAAGAAGGAGCCTCCACCACAATCCGGGGCAGAGAGTTCCACTGCTGAACGGCTCCCACAGTCAGGAAGTTCGTATAATTCAATAATAATAATAATAATAATAATAATAATAATAATAATACCTCTTTGTTCTGCTGCGTCTGCTGCCAGCGCCAGCGCCGCTTCAGAGCCTCCCTTTCGGCCCCTTTATCCATCAGGGTGTAAAGGGATTTGCGGAGCATCAGGTCCCGGTCGTGGAAACCCCACATCCCTGCAAAGAAGGGGTGGATTGTGGTCGGATGCCAGGCAGAACCCCCTTGGGGACTCTTCCAAGTCTAGGACTCTCAAGCCACAATGGCAGCCCTTTAGGAGGAGATTGCCATGTTGCACCTTGGGATAACCTAGGGTTCCTACCTAACGATGCCGCGTGAAGAAGGCAGTTCCCGTCTCCCGTCGTGGCCAAAGGAAGCAGCCGCTGGCAGCTGGGATCCACGTTGGCCCACCAGTTGAGCCGACCTGCAAACGAGAAGCAACACAAAGAGCGCGGTCAGGGTCCTGGCCCGGATTTTTACATTACAGGGTGTTCACCCCAAAAAATGTATACATCAGGCAAATGCCAAGTTGGGACCACCCGGTATTTTGGACTTCAATTCCAAAATTCCTTCAATTCCTTCCTTTTCTCCCTCAGTGGCTTAAGTGAAAAATGGGGGCTCGTCCGGGATTTGGAAAGGAAGTCCCTTGTTTTGTCCTTCCGAATGTAAACAAACCTTAAGAGGCTGAGGAGGAAAGGAAAGGATCACTCAAAAAATGGGAATTCCAGACAGGAAACAATCAGGGCCAGCTAACACCACCCAACAAAGGATTCCTCCAGGCAGGAAGCAGCCAGGCTTTGAAGTTGCAAAGCCATTCAGTGGTAATCAAGCTGGCCAATGGCAACATTCACACTTGCCTCAAACAGACACGAGTACGTTCTCCCACCCACCTCCCAACAAAGGATTCCCCCAGGCAGGAAGCAGCCAGGCTTTGAAGTTGCAAAGCCATTCAGTGGTAATCAAGCTGGCCAATGGCAACATTCACACTTGCCTCAAACAGACACGAGTACGTTCTCCCACCCACCTCCCAACAAAGGATTCCCCCAGGCAGGAAGCAGCCAGGCTTTGAAGTTGCAAAGCCATTCAGTGGTAATCAAGCTGGCCAATGGCAACATTCACACTTGCCTCAAACAGACATGAGTACGTTCTCCCACCCACCTCCCAACAAAGGATTCCCCCAGGCAGGAAGCAGCCAGGCTTTGAAGTTGCAAAGCCATTCAGTGGTAATCAAGCTGGCCAATGGCAACATTCACACTTGCCTCAAACAGACATGAGTACGTTCTCCCACCCACCTCCCAACAAAGGATTCCCCCAGGCAGGAAGCAGCCAGGCTTTGAAGTTGCAAAGCCATTCAGTGGTAATCAAGCTGGCCAATGGCAACATTCACACTTGCCTCAAACAGACATGAGTACGTTCTCCCACTCACCTCCCAACAAAGGATTCCCCCAGGCAGGAAGTAGTCAGGCTTTGAAGCTCTAAGGCCATTCAATGCTAGTGAAGGTAGCCAGTTGCAAACTTCACACTTGCCTCCAACATTGCAGCTTCAAAGCCTGGCTGCTTCCTGCCTGGGGGAATCCTTTCTTGGGAGGTATTAGCTGGCCCTGATTGTTTCCTGTCCGAAAGCAAAGCCATTCTATGCTAATCGAGGTGGCTTATTGCAACATTCACACTTGCCTCCAACAGACACAAATTCTTTCTCCCACCCACCTTGCAACAAAGGATTCCCCCAGGCAGGAAGTAGTCAGACTTTGAAGTTGCAAGGCCATTCAATGCTAGTCAAGGTGGCCAATTGCAACATTCACACTTGCCTCCAACATTGCAGCTTCAAAGCCTGGCTGCTTCCTGCTTGGGGGAATCCCTTGTTGGGAGGTGTTAAGTGGCCCTGATTGTTTCCTGTCTGGAAGCAAGGCTATTCAATGCTAATCAAGGTGGCTAATGGCAACATTCACACTTGCCTCCAACAGACAAGAGTTCTTTCTCCCACCCACCTCCCAACAAGGGATTTCCCCTGGCAGGAAGCATCCAGGCTTTGAAGCTGCAAGGCCATCCAATGCTATTACACCCAGGATTTGCCCAGGCAGGAAGCAGCCAGGCTTTGAAGCTGCAAGGGCATTTAATGCTAATCAAGGTGGCTAATGACAACAGTCACACTTGCCTCCAAAAGACATGAGTTATTTCTCTCACCCATCTCTCAACAAAGGATTCTCCCTGGCAGGAAGCAGCCAGGCTTTGAAGCTGCAAAGCTGTCCAATGCTAACCAAGCTGGCCAATGGCAACATTCACACTTGCCTCCAACAGACGAGAGTTCTTTCTCCCACCCACTTCCCAACAAAGGATTTCCCCTGGCAGGAAGCAGCCAGGCTCTGAAGCTGCAAGGCCATCCAATGCTATTACACATAGGATTCGCCCAGGCAGGAAGCAGCCAGGCTTTGAAGCTGCAAGGGTATTTAATACTAATCAAGGTGGCTAATGACAACAGTCACACTTGCCTCCAAAAGACATGAGTTCTTTCTCCCACCCACCTCTCAACAAAGGATTCTCCCTGGCAGGAAGCAGCCAGTCTTTGAAGCTGCAAAGCAGTCCAATGCTAACCAAGCTGGCCAATGGCAACATTCACACTTGCCTCCAACAGACAAGAGTTCTTTCTCCCACCCAACTCCCAACAAAGGATTCCCCCAGGCAGGAAGCAGCCAGGGTTTGAACCTGCAAGGCCATTTGATGCTAATCAAGGCAACATTCACAGTTGCCTCACACAGACAAGAGTTCTTTCTCCCACTCTGGATATATAAACCCCACTTGCCTAGTTTCCAACAGACCTCACAAGCTTTGAGGACGCCTGTCATAGATGGGGGAGAAATGTCAGGAGAGAATGCTTCTGGAACATAGCTAGACAGCCCGGAAAACTCACAGCAACCCAGTAATTCTGGCCACGAAAGCCTTTGACAACATATCAAGTGAGATATCAGCTTTTGAAGTGTGTTTACAATTTTTGGGACACCCCGTATTTTCGACATTCGGAGGCCCTCCTTACCGGCCTGCTCCAAGGCCACCAGCATCGACTGCTCAATGAGATCCCGCTCGATGAACGTCCGGAACTCCTCGTTGTAGACAGTCAAGTCCGGTAGCTGGAACGTGCAGATGGGCATCTCCAGGAGATGTTCGCCACCGCTGCCGTTGCTGCCGCCATTGCTGCCGCCGTTGCTGGAGACGTGGGAGCGCGCCAAGGAGACGATGGTGGAGCTGGCGTGGGAGATGCCGCGGGACAAGCGCTTCTCTGAGAAGGACACAGGGTCGTAAATCAACAAAGTGGAAGGGACACTTTGCACCCCCCCCCCAACAGATGACCGTCCAGCCTCTGTTCCAAAGTTTCCACCAGACTCCGAGGCAGAGAGTTCCACTGCTGAACAGCTCTCGGAGACTGGTGGAGGTTTATACGTGGATGGCCATCTGTCGAGAGGGCTTTGATTGTGCTGGGTAGGATGGGATTGGACTGAATGGCCTCTTGGGGTCTCTTTCAACTCTAGGATTCTACAATTCGGAGGCTGGGTGGCCATCTGTCGGGAGGGCTTTGTTGTCATCTTTACGGCAGAATAAGACTGGACTGGATGACCTCTTGGGGTCTCTTCCAACTCTAGAATTCTATGATTTGGAGGCTGGATGGCCATCTGTTCGGAGGGCTTTGATGGCATCTTTATGGCAGAATAAGACTGGACTGGATGACCTCTTGTGGGTCTCTTCCAATGCTAGAATTCTATCGTTCAGAGGCTGGATGGCCATCTGTCGGGAGGGCTTTGATGGTGTATTCTTACAAGGTAGAAAGGGGTTGGACTGGATGACCTCTTGGGGTCTCTTCCAACTCTAGCATTCTATGATTGGGATGCAGGGTGGCCATCTGTCGGGAGGGCTTTGATGGTGCATTCGCATGAGGAAGAATGGGGTTGGACTGGATGACCTCTTGCGGTCTTTCCCAACACTAGAATTCTATGACTCAGAGGCCGAATGGCCATCTGTCAGAAGGGTTTTGATTGTGCCTTCCTACCAGGAAAAAAGTTGGTTGGACTGGATGACCTCTTGGGGTCTCTATCATTCTATCATTCAGAGGCTGGATGGCCATCTGTCAGGAGGGCTTTGATAGTGCCTTCCTACATGTCAAAAGGGGCTGGACTGGATGACCTCTTGGGATCTCTTCTAACTCTAGGATTCTATGACTCAGAGGCTAGATGGCCATCTGTCAGGAGGGCTTTGATTGTGCCTTCCTGCCAGGAAAAAAGATGGTAGGACTGGATGACCTCTTGGGGTCTCTTCCAACTCTAGCATTCTATGTTTGAGATGCAGGATGGCTATCTGTCAGAAGGGCTTTGATTGTGCCTTCCTGCCAGGCAGAAGGGGGTTGGACTAGATGACCTCTTGGGATCTCTTCCAACTCTAGCATTCTATGATTCAGAGGTGGCATTGTCATCTGTTGGGAGGGCTTTGATGGTGTCTTCCTACAAGGCAAAAAGGAGTTGGACTGGATGACCTCTTGCGGTCTTTCCCAACACTAGAATTCTATGATTCAGAGGCTGGGATGGCCATCTGTCGGGAGGGCTTTGATAGTGCCTTCCTACATGTCAAAAAGGGGTTAGACTGGATTACCTCTGGGGGTCTCTAGGATTCTATGATTCAGAGGCAGAATGGTCATCTGTCCGGAGGGCTTTGATGGTGCCTTCCTTTACGGCAGAATAAGACTGGACTGGATGACCTCTTGGGGTCTCTTCCAACTCTAGGATTCTATGATTCAGAGGCTGGCTGGCCATCTGTCGGGAGGGCTTTGATAGTGCCTTCCTACATGTCAAAAGGGGCTGGACTGGATGACCTCTTGGGATCTCTTCTAACTCTAGGATTCTATGATTCAGGGGCTGAATGGCCATCTGTCGGGAGGGCTTTGATAGTGCCTTCCTACAATGGCAGAAAGGGGTTGGACTAGATGACCTCTTGAGGTCTGTAGGATTCTATGATTCAGAGGCAGGATGGCCATCTGTCGGGAGGGTTTTGATAGTGCCTTCCTGCCAGGAAAAAAGATGGTTGGACTGGATGACCTCTTAGGGTCCCTTCCAACTCTAGCGTTCTATGACTCAGAGGTTAGATAGGCATCTGTTGGGAGGGTTTTGATTGTGCCTTCCTGCCAAGCAGAAGGGGGTTGGACTGGATGACCTCTTGGGGTCTCTTCCAACTCTAGCATTCTATGATTGAGATCAGGATGGCCATCTGTCGAGAGGGCTTTGTTGGTGTATTCCTACGAGGTAGAAAGGGGTTGGACTCGATGACCTCTTGGGGTCTCTAGGATTCTATGATTCAGAGTCTGGATGGCCATCTGTTGGGAGGGCTTTGATGGTGTATTCCTACGAGGTAGAAAGGGGTTGGACTAGATGACCTCTTGGGGTCTCTAGGATTCTATAATTCAGAGGCAGGATGGTCATCTGTCAGGAGGGCTTTAATTGCCAAGCAGAAGGGGGTTGGACTAGAAGACCTCTTGGGGTCTCTTCCAACAATAGAATTCTATGACTCAGAGGCTGGATGGCCATCTGTTGGGAGGGCTTTGATAGTGCCTTCCTACATATCAGAACGGGGTTGGACTGGATGACCTCTTGGGGCCTCTTCCAACTCTAAGTTACTATGATTCAGAGACAGGATGGCCATTTATAAAGAGGGCTTTGATGGTGTATTCCTGCGGAACAGAAATGGGTTGGACTGGGTGACCTCTGGGGTCTCTATGTTTCAGAAGCAGGATGGTCATCAGTCAGGAAGGCTCTGATGATGCCTCCCTTTATGGCAGAATAAGGTTGGACTGGATGACCTCTTGGGGTTTCTCCCAAATCTACCATTCTATTATTCAGAGGCAGAATGGCCATCTGTCAGGAGGGCTTTGATGGTGTCTTACTAGATGCAGAATGGGGTTGGGTTGGATGACCTCTTGGGGTCTCGTCCCAAGGCTGTTTCGCTTACCCTGAACGATGTCATCCTGGCGCTGGAGGACGGGCCGCGTGGGTCGTGGGGCCTCCTTCTCGGGGGGCTTGAAGGGGCGCCCTTCCGGGAAGGGGTGGGGCAGGGTCCCCGCATGGACTTGCCGGAGCTGCTCAAAGTCACTCAAGGCAGCGCTCAGGTCCCAGTTCTTCCCTGAAGAAGAAGAAGAGCAAAGAGAAAGGAGCTTCCAACTATGATCCTATTATATTGTATAAATATGGGATTTATAGTTCACCTACAATCAAAGAGCATTCTGAACTCCACCAATGATGGAATTGAACCAATCTTGGCACACAGAACTCCCATGACCAACAGAAAATCCTGGAAGGGTTTGGTGGGCATTGTCCTTGAGTTTGGGAGTTGTAGTTCACCTACATCAAGAGAGCACTGGGGATTCAAACAATAATAGACCTGGACCAAACTTGGCACTAATACTCAATATGCCCAAATGTGAACACTAGTGGAGTTTGGGGAAAATAGACCTTAAAATCTGGGAGTTATAGTTACTGGGATTTATAGTTCACCTACAATCAAAGAACATTCTGAATCCCACCGACGATAGAATTGAGCCAAACTTCCTAAATATCACCTCCATGATGAAAAGAAAATACTGGAAGGGTTTGATGGGCATTGACCTTGAGTTTGGGAGTTGTAGTTCACCTACATCCAGAGAGCACTGTGGACTCAAACAATGATGGATCTGGACCAAACTTGGCACGAATACTCAATATGTCCAAATGTGAACACTGGTGGAGTTTGGGAAAAATAGACCTTGACATTTGGGAGTTGTAATTATTGGGATTTATAGTTCACCTACAATCAAAGAGCATTCTGTACTCAACCAACAATAGAATTGGGTCAAACTTGGTACACAGAACTCCCATGACCAAGAGAAAATACTGGAAGGGTTTGGTGGGCATTGACCTTGAGTTTGGGAGTTGTAGTTCACCTATATCCGGAGAACACTGCGTACCCAAACAACTATGTAAAGGGATTCCAAAGACCATCAGAAATATGTATTTTCTGATGGTCTTTGGTGACCCCTCTGAAACCCTCTCGCGACCCCCCAAGGGGTCCCGACCCCCAGATTGAGAAACACTGCTCTAGAGTCACTCCAAAGGTAAAGTAATATGAATACAATACATAAACATAGTATATGTAAATATAAAATATGTAAATGCAAAATGTTTATTTATGTAAACATATAATAAAACCAGAAATATTTAAAAAACCAATTTAACTAATTAAAATTTATTCATTTATGACATTGATATGCCGCCCTTCTCACCCCGAAGGCTTACAAGATACATATACATTCAATATATTATATTATTAGCATAGTACAATATCAGTATTAAATATTACTATATTGTACTATATCATTATATTGTAGCATTATAAGTAATATTACATGTTATATAAATATATAATTATAATATATTATTAGTAGTAGTATTATATTGCATTTATTATTAATTATTACTATATTGTATTATACCATTATATTGTAATATTATTAGCAATATAACATGTAATATAAATATATAATTATAATATCATATTATTAGTATTATATTGCATTATTATTATATTATACTATATAATTATATTGTAATATTATTAGTAATATTACATGTAATATAAATATATAATTATAATATTATATTATTAGTATTATATTGCATTAATTATTATTACTATATTGTATTATACCATTATATTGCAATATTATTAGTAATGTTCCTTGTAATACAAATATATAATTATAATATCATATTATTATTAGGATTATATTGCATTAATTATTAATTATTACTATATTGTACTATACCATTATATTGTAATATTATTAGTAATATTACATTAATATAAAATATATAATATAATATTATTAGTATTATATTGCATTTAATAATATAATATTAGTATTAATATTATATTATTAAATATTATACTATATTAGTAATAATATATATATATAATATTAGTAATTGGTAGTATTATATTGCATTAATTATTAATTATTACAATATTGCATTATACCATTATATTGTGATATTATCAGTAATATTACATGTAATATAAATATATAATTATAATATCATATTATTAGTATTATATTGCATTAATTGTTGATTATTACTATATTGTATTATACCATTATATTGTAATATTATTAGTAATATTACATGTAATATAAATATACAATTATAATATCATATTATTATTAGTAGTATATTGCATTACAATATAATATTATAAATATTATATGTATATACAATATATTATATTATTAGAATAGCACATGTAATAAAACCATTGGATCCCGTTGGAGCTAATGGTTTTATTAAATGTGCTATTCTAATAATTAAAATAATATAATCAAACAACATCTTTGGGGTGTTTGGGTCCTTATTTTGATCCAAACTGTGGCCGACGAGCCCCATTCCTTTGCAAGGGAGCTGCCAAGAGGACCCGCCCAAGGCATTCCGATCCTCGTTCCCACACTTTGCAAGATTGACAATTCTGAATATTATTGTAACCTCGCCCTGTTTTACCTATATGGGAACTGGTGGCATTGGCAGATCTAAGGCCAATCCCTGCCCCACCCAAGATGGGATTTCCTTCCTGGACTTGGCAGCGGAACTGGGAAAACAACGCCGGAGAAAACAACATCCCTATTGTTTACATTCAGAGCTGTGAGACCTTTATACTGTTGCCTTCTTGGTTATCTCTCCCTAGCAACAGGCACAGAGGTATCCTGGGGGTTATCAATGCCAAATTATTATTATTATTATTATTATTATTATTATTATTATTATTATTATTATTATTATTATAGAGCTGTTCAGCAGTGGAACTCTCTGCCCCAGAGTGTGGTGGAAGCTCCTTCTTTGCATGCCTTGAAACAGAGGCTGGATGGCCATCTGTTGGGGGTGCTCTGAATGTAATTTTCCTGCATTCAAAGCATCCCCTAATGTTTACATTCAGAGCTGTGAGACCTTTATACTGTTGCCTTCTTGGTATCCTGGGGTTATCAATGCCAAATTATTATTATTATTATTATTATTATTATTATTATTATTATTTATTGAGCTGTTCAGCAGTGGAACTCTCTGCCTTTATACTCTTGTCTTCTTGGTTATCTCTCCCTAGCAACAGGCACAGAGGTATCCTGGTGTTACCAATGCCAAATTTATTATTATTATTATTATTATTATTATTATTATTATTATTTATTGAACTGTTCAGCAGTGGAACTCTCTGCCTTTATACGGTTGCATTCTTTGTTATCTCTCCTTAGCAACAGGCACTGAAGTATCCTGGTGTTATCAATGCCAAATAATAATAATAATATTATTATTATTATTATTATTATTATTATTTATTGAGCTGTTCAGCAGTGGAACTCTCTGCCTTTATACTCTTGTCTTCTTGGTTATCTCTCCCTAGCAACAGGCACAGAGGTATCCTGGTGTTACCAATGCCAAATTTATTATTATTATTATTATTATTATTATTATTATTATGAGCTGTTCAGCAGTGGAACTCTCTGCCCCAGAGTGTGGTGGAGACTCCTTCTTTGGATGCTTTTAAACAGAGGCTGGATGGCCATGTGTTGGGGGTGCTCTAAATATAATTTTCCTGCATTATCAATGCCAAATTATTATTATTATTATTATTATTATTATTATTATTATTATTATTGAGCTGTTCAGCAGTGGAACTCTCTGCCCCAGAGTGTGGTGGAAGCTCCTTCTTTGCATGCCTTGAAACAGAGGCTGGATGGCCATCTGTTGGGGGTGCTCTGAATGTAATTTTCCTGCATTCAAAGCATCCCCTAATGTTTACATTCAGAGCTGTGAGACCTTTATACTGTTGCCTTCTTGGTATCCTGGTGTTATCAATGCCAAATTATTATTATTATTATTATTATTTATTGAGCTGTTCAGCAGTGGAACTCTCTGCCTTTATACTCTTGTCTTCTTGGTTATCTCTCCCTAGCAACAGGCACAGAGGTATCCTGGTGTTACCAATGCCAAATTTATTATTATTATTATTATTATTTTTGAACTGTTCAGCAGTGGAACTCTCTGCCTTTATACTGTTGCATTCTTTGTTATCTCTCCTTAGCAACAGGCACTGAAGTATCCTGGTGTTATCAATGCCAAATAATAATAATAATAATTATTATTATTATTATTATTTATTAATTGAGCTGTTCAGCAGTGGAACTCTCTGCCTTTATACTGTTGCCTTCTTGGTTATCTCTCCCTAGCAACAGGCACAGAGATATCCTGGTGTTACCAATGCCAAATTTTTATTATTATTATTATTATTATTATTATTATTATTATTATTATTGAGCTGTTCAGCAGTGGAACTCTCTGCCCCAGAGTGTGGTGGAGACTCCTTCTTTGGATGCTTTTAAACAGAGGCTGGATGGCCATGTGTTGGGGGTGCTCTAAATATAATTTTCCTGCATTATCAATGCCAAATTATTATTATTATTATTATTATTATTATTATTATTATTATTATTGAGCTGTTCAGCAGTGGAACTCTCTGCCCCGGAGTAAGGTGGAGGCTCCTTCTTTGCATGCTTTTTAAACAGAGGCTGGATGGCATTCAGTTGGGGGTGCTTTGAATGCAGTTTTCCTGCATTCAAAGCACCCCAAAAGTGGAACAGGAGAGAGAAGGGGGATCCTCTTACCTTCCAGCAGGTCTCTTGCCAATCCCGGCTCTGCCCCCGTTGAGCGGACAAAGTCGGAGAGGACCACGTCCATCTCCAGGGTCATGGGATCTGGAGTTTCTCACGGCCGGCCGGGAACGGATGGGACATGGAGGATCCGGGCTTCTTCTGCAGCGTCAGTCTAGAAGGGAAAGGAGGGGAGGAAGCTCAGCAAAGGCAACAAGACCAGAAATCACTTGTTTCAGATACATTTGGGAAGAAGTTTGCAAACAGTTTGCAAAAAAGTGCAAAATGTTTTTGCCTAGAGAAACAACGTTTCCCTGCCCCAGTTTTCCTTCACTTCGTATTTTTAGTTTTGCAAAAAAAAGATTGCTGAAACCGGCTATCCTTTTCAAGACGCGCAATAAAACAACGTTTCTCTATGGCTTACGAGTAATATAAATTTGCAAGCAGACGTTGTAAAACGGCAAGAGACAAAAGGTAAATATTGCAAACGGTTATCGGTTTAGTTGAAAACATTAAAGCAATGAAACAAGGCGAAGGTCCTTCAAAGTTTCAAAAGCAAAATATCACTGTCTTCAGAAGGTATTGAATGGCCCATCACTCCTCACGTAAACACCCGATTCCTTCACCAATTCCTTGGCCATAAATTCTTTCATCAATTCCTTTGCCAAAACGTTGGAGGAGTTTCACCCAATTCATTCACTAATTCCTTGCACATAAAGTTGGGGAAGTTTCCATAAAGTTGGGGACGTTTCACCCAATTCATTCACCAATTCTTTGGCCATAAAGTTTGGGAAGTTTCAGCCAATACCTTCACCAATTCCTTGGCCATAAAGTTTGGGAAATTACACCTAACTCCTTGGCCATAAAGTTGGGAAAGTTACCATAAAGTTGAGGAAGTTTGACCCAATTCATTCACCAATTCCTTGGCCATAAAGTTGGGGAAGTTTCCATAAAGTCAGAGAAATCTCACCCAATTCCTTGGCCATAAAATTGGGAAGTTTCACCCAATTCCTTCACCAATTCCATGGTCATAAAGTTGGAGAAGTTTCCATAAAGTTAGAGAAGTTCCACACAATTTATTCACCAATTCCTTGGCCATAAGGTTGGGGAAGTTTCCATAAAGTTGGAGAAATCTCGCCCAATTTCTTCACCAATTCCTTGGCCATAAAGTTGGGGAAGTTTCACCCAATTCCTTCACCAATTCCATGGTCATAAAGTTGGGGAAGTTTCCATAAAGTTAAAGAAGTTTGACCCAATTCATTCACCAATTCCTTGGCCATAAAGTTGGGGAAATTATACCTAAGTCCTTGGCCATAAAGTTGGGGAAGTTTCCATAATTCTGGAGAAATCTCACCCAATTCCTTCACCAATTCCTTGGCCATAAAGTTGGGGAAATTGCACCTAACCCCTTGGCCATAAAGTTGGGGAAGTTTCCATAAAGTTGGAGAAGTTTGACCCAATTCTTTCACCAATTCCTTGGCCATAAAGTTGGGGAAGTTTCTCCCAATTCCTTCACCAATTCGTTGGCCATAAAGTTGGGAAAGTTTCCATAAAGTTAGGGAAGTTTGACCAAATTCATTCACCAATTCCTTGGCCATAAAGTTAGGGAAGTTTCCATAAAGTTGGAGAAGTTTCACCCAATTCTTTCACTAATTCCATGGTCATAAAGTTGGGGAAGTTTCCATAAAGTTGGAGAAATCTCACCCAATTTCTTCACCAATTCCTTGACCATAAAGTTGTGGAAGTTTCACCCAATTCCTTCATTAATTTCATGGCCATAAAGTTGGGGAACTCACACCTAATTCGTTGGCCATAAAGTTGGGAAGTTTCACCCAATTCCTTCACCAATTCCTTGGCCATAAAGTTGGGAAGTTTCACCCAATTCCTTCACCAATTCCTTGGCCATAAAGTTGGGGAAGTTTCCATAAAGTTAGGGAAGTTTGACCAAATTCATTCACCAATTCCTTGGCCATAAAGTTAGGGAAGTTTCCATAAAGTTGGAGAAGTTTCACCCAATTCTTTCACTAATTCCATGGTCATAAAGTTGGGGAAGTTTCCATAAAGTTGGAGAAATCTCACCCAATTTCTTCACCAATTCCTTGACCATAAAGTTGTGGAAGTTTCACCCAATTCCTTCACCAATTCCTTGGCCATAAAGTTGGGGAAGTTTCCATAAAGTTGGGAAGTTTCACCCAATTCATTCACCAATTCCTTGGCCATAAAGTTGGGAAGTTTCACCCAATTCCTTCACCAATTCCTTGGCCATAAAGTTGGGGAAGTTTCCATAAAGTTAGGGAAGTTTGACCAAATTCATTCACCAATTCCTTGGCCATAAAGTTAGGGAAGTTTCCATAAAGTTGGAGAAGTTTCACCCAATTCTTTCACTAATTCCATGGTCATAAAGTTAGGGAAGTTTCCATAAAGTTGGGGAAGTTTCACCCAATTCCTTTACCAATTCCATGGTCATAAAGTTGGGGAAGTTTCACCCAATTCCTTTACCAATTCCATGGTCATAAAGTTGGGGAAGTTTCACCCAATTCCTTTACCAATTCCATGGTCATAAAGTTGGGGAAGTTTCCATAAAGTTGGAGAAATCTCACCCAATTCCTTCACCAATTCCGGGATCATAAACTTGGGGAAATTACACCTAACTCCCTGGCCGTAAAGTTGGGGAAGTTTCCATAAAGTTGGAGATGTCTGACCCAATTCATTCACCAATTCATTGGCCATAAAGTTGGGGAAGTTTCACCCGATTCCTTCACCAATTCCTTGGCCATAAAGTTGGGAAGTTTCCATAAAGTTGGAGAAGTTTGACCCAATTCTTTCACCAATTCCTTGGCCATAAAGTGGAGAAGTTACACCCAATTCATTCACAAATTCTTTGGCCATAGAGCTGGGGAAGTTTCGCCGAAGTTCTTGGCCATAAAGTTGGGGAAGTTTCCATAAAGTTGGAGAAGTTTGACCCAATTCTTTCACCAATTCCTTGGCCATAAAGTTGGGGAAGTTTCTCCCAATTCCTTCACCAATTCGTTGGCCATAAAGTTGGGAAAGTTTCCATAAAGTTAGGGAAGTTTGACCAAATTCATTCACCAATTCCTTGGCCATAAAGTTAGGGAAGTTTCCATAAAGTTGGAGAAGTTTCACCCAATTCTTTCACTAATTCCATGGTCATAAAGTTAGGGAAGTTTCCATAAAGTTGGGGAAGTTTCACCCAATTCCTTTACCAATTCCATGGTCATAAAGTTGGGGAAGTTTCACCCAATTCCTTTACCAATTCCATGGTCATAAAGTTGGGGAAGTTTCCATAAAGTTCGGGAAGTTTCACCCAATTCCTTCAGCAATTCCTTGGCCATAAAGTTGGGGAAGTTTCACCCAATTCCTTCAGCAATTCCATGGTCATAAAGTTGGGGAAGTTTCACCCAATTCGTTCACCAACTCCTTCCTCATAAAGTTGGGGAAGTGTCACCCAATTCCTTCACCAATTCTTTAGCCATAAAGTTGGGGAAATGTCACTCAATTCATTCACCAATTCCTTCACCATAAAGCTAGGTTTTATCCTTTTCTCATTTTTCTTCCAAAACAATGAGAACTAGGAATGCAGCAAAAACAATAAAGTTCTTCAAGAAACTTTTGAAAATCTTTCAAGATCACTCCTTGGACAGTCGGTCTCTGTCTGGGCCTCAAATGTAGAAGTCAACTCCCTTTCATAGATTTTTTAAAAAAAACATACACACACCCCAAAAATGAACCCAAAAGCCTTAAACCGTCTCCTTCCAATCCATCCGGTTAAACCCAAACCTATGGCTGCATTCCAGGGAGCGCTTCGGCCATCCATATTAATCCCTTCCAGGCTCTGGAAACCAAAATTGCAGTCCAGATCGGTTTTCAGGCCATCGAGTTAAAATTGGTAACCTCCAACCGCTGTCTTGGGGTAAGTTGGGAAGGAAAGGAGTGAGTGAGAGAGAGAGAGAGAGAGAGAGAGAAAGGAGGGAAAGGAGGGAAAGAAAGGAAGCAAAAATGGATGGATGAGAAAGGAAAGGGGAAGGAGGGAGGAAAGAAAGAAAGAAAGAAAGAAAGAAAAAAAGAGGAAGGAGAAGAAAAAAGAAAGAAAGAAAGAAAATGAGAAGGAAGGAAAAGGAAGGAAGGAAGGAAGGAAGGAAGGAGGGAGGGAAGGAAAGGAAGGAAGGAGGGAAGGCAGGAGGAAAGAGAAAAGGAAGGATGGATGGAGAAGAAGGAAGAAGAAGAAAGAAAGAAAGAGAGAGGAAGGAAAGAATCAAGGAAGGAGGAAGGAAGGAAGGAAGGGAAGGAGGATAGATGGATGGAAGGAAGGGGAAGGAAGGGAGGAATCAAGGAAGGGAGGAAAGAAAAGTAAAGCATGGATGGATGGATAGATGGAGAAGAAAGAAAGAAAGAAAGAAAGAAAGAAAGAAAGAAAGAAAGAAAGAAAGAAAGAAATCAAGGAAGGAAGGAAGGAGAAGAAAGAAAGAAAAAGAAGAAAGGAATAAATCAAGGAAGGAAAGGAGAGAAGAAAGAAAGGAATAAAAGGAAGGAAGAGAAAGAGAAGAGAGAGAAAAGGAAGAAGAAGGAAAGGAAGGAAGGAAGGAAGGAAGGAAGGAAGGAAGGAAGACAGGAAAGAAAGAAAGAAGAAAGGAAGAAAGAAGGAAGGAAGGAAAGGAGAAGAAAAAAGAAAAAGAGAAGAAAGGAAGAAGAAAGAAAGAGGAGGAAGGGAAGGAAGGAAGGAAGGAGCAAGCAATCAAGGAAAGAAGGAGGAGGAACACAAAGGGAGGGAGGAAAGGAGAAGAAGAAAGAAAGAAAGAAAGAAAGAAAGAAAGAAAGAAAAGGAAAAAGGAAGGAAAAGGGGAGGGAGGGAGGGAGGGAGGGAGGGAGGGAGGGAGGAGAGGGAAGAAAGAAAGAAAGAAGAAAGAAGAAAGAAGAAGGAAGAAGAGAAAGAGGGGAAGGAGGAAGAAGAAAGGAAGGAAAGAAAGGAAGGAAGGAGGAGAAGAAGGGATGAAAAGGATGGAAGAAAAAAAAGAAAGAAAGAAAGAAAGAAAGAAAGAAAGAAAGAAAGAGAAAGGAAGGAAGGAAGAGAAGGAAAGGAAGGAAGGAAGGAAGGAAGGAAGGAAGAGCAAGCAATCAAGGAAGGAAGGAGAGGAAAAAAGGGAAGGAAGGAGAAGA